ACCCTGAACCCTGAATCCAGAACCCTCAACTCTCATCACTGATCACTAAACCCTCAACCCCAAGCCCTCTAATCCCAAACACTCAACCTTGCACCCTAAATCCTCAACCCTAAACCCTCAATCCTGCACCTTCATTAAGCCCCAGATTCTAAACCCTATACATCCTAAGCCCTGAACCCTAAGCCCTCAACCCCTAAACCCGGGCCTCTCCGACCTGCACGGCGCGCCGGTCTTGATCTGTCCGGACCGGAGGCCTACCGAGAGATCTGCGATGAAGACCTGAGGGTTTGAAGAGTTGGGGCTTTGGATTTAGAGATCTGAGGATGTAGAGATGTGGGGATGTAGGGTTCAGGGTTTAATAACGTTTTGGGATTTGGGTTTAGGGATTCAAGGAAAAAGGGTTTAGGCATGTAGGGAGTAAGCTTGGGGCTCTAGGGACTTGGTGATTCAGGGTTTGGGGGTCTGTAGAGATTTAGGGTAGAAGGTTATAAATCAAGGCTGGGGACCCCGAAAAGGACCATGACTTCGACAAGGCCCCAAATAGAAACTTGCTTGCTGGTGCGTTTCAGGTCTGGGGTTTGCTTAATGATGGTAGGTAAGGAATGAAGGAATCTGACTCACCAAGCCCTGAGCCCAAAACCACGGTCTAGCTGAGTCTAGGTGGACCCTGAATTCTAAGCATAAGCCTGTAGCTCCAAGCCCTGAACCTTTGATTGGAGGATCCTTACCGTCAGGCTCCAAATAGCCAAATGCAGGTACAGTTTATAGGGTTAAGGGCCCAACGTAGGCATTATTTACAGCTAGGGGGCCCCTCAAGTAGAATAGACCCACTGAGAAGGACTCTTCAAAAGGGCTTGTATGGAAACCCAAATCTATCCGAACCCACACTCTACCTACAAGCTTGTGTAATCCCAGTTTCGTACAATCTCTTCCGCTCGCCAAAGCCCTGAGCCTCACCCCTAGGCCCCATAATCCCTGATCTCCGAGGGCTGATCGTATCTTTGAACTCAGAGCCTTAGGGTTAGGTCTCTTTGCTGCTTGATGCCTTATACCCCAAACCCTAAACCCTGAACCCCCCCAACCCCCTAAAAGCTAAACCCGAAACCCGAAACCCCGACCCCCAAACCCTAAACCATGTCTCCAGGGTTATGTCTCTTTGCTCTTGGAAGTCCACCAACCTAACCCAGTCGCATCTTCGGTCTCGCCAGATCTGTGCGAAACCATGACCTCAGATTACGAACAGGTTTTATGGCCCAGGGTACACTCTGCGGCCTTCAGTACATTTTGAGCCGTAGGGTCAGGGTTGAGAGCTAGAGGCTATAGGGTATTGGAGTGGGTGTGAACCAGGCTTATAAGCCACTCTAGACCCTAAACCCTAAGGCCCTAAACCGTAAACATCATCTGGGAGCCCTACACTGTAAACCTCAGCTGTTGCCCCATTTCCCCGGGAGCCCTGCTTGCAAACCTAGTTTGGTTCCTCTAAGCCTGATAGACCATATTCCCGGCTAAAGGAGTTTGGGCCCAAATTGGGTTTAGGGTTTAGGGCTTAGGGAAGTTCACGCACTATGAGGTCCAGGTAAAGTTGAGGCTTATGGTGTAACACCTAAAGCTGGCGTACCTAGATAGGTCAGGCCGTGGGTGACTGGCTGAGTGTTTGCGGAATGTAGCCCTTACTTCAGCCTTTTGCTTTTCAATCCTTTTAAGCTAGATGGGGGCTGGAACCCTTTTGAAGGTCTCAGACTTCATTGAGAAGGACTCAGATGCTGCATCTTTGCAAAGGCCATCTGTTGTGCTGATAGAAACCCTGTGTCAGAAGTTCTGCGCCAACAGCCTTTGAACATCTGCGGCCATGTCACGCCCCAACCTCTGTCCTGTCGAAGGAGCGGCTGAAGCAACAACTCAACATGACACACCTTCAGGTCTTTAGGGTTGGAAACATCCTATGGGTTATGCCCCGTCAGGCCAAGTGGGGTGTCTTCCCGAAGCTTGTTTGTAAAGACACTCCCTACTGTTGATACCTTCGGATAAGACACTATAATCCCCAAGGCATGAGATACACAGGTACTCAGGATGATGTAAGACTTGTAGCGTCACCCATAGCACCCCATGTAGAACCGTTGGTATTAACATGCCGGGAAGGTTATGCAAGCAACACATG